CTAGGGGGGTCCGGGGGCATGCCCCCCAGGAAAATTTTTGAATTCAGAGTCTCTGAAATGCCATTTCCTGGACTTTGGGGGAAGATTTGACAGAAATCTGATGGTCAGGAAACGGCATTATAACGTGTCGAAATTTGCAATTTGGTTTGAATTTAGTAGGAGTAGTACTTATATTATGCAATGCTAACAACTTCCAGCGATTAATCTAATTCCAATTCTATTCTCTACTGATCTAGTGATCTGAATACAATATACAACATACAGCTCTTTTATACAATAACACACGGACCCCACGCTCTGGAACCCACGCATATGCATTTTAAGAGCCGTCACCTCATTAATATGCAGAAACGCGAAATAGGCGTACTAAGAGGCCTAGGGACTAGGCTGGGTTTCCCTGCCTGGCTGCCAAAAGGGCGCGTTTCAGCATTATTTCATTACTCACATTACTCATGATGTTTCTAGCGCAAACAACTAACTTGCGTACACAACTTTACATTATCATAACTTAAACTATCTAATTTGCGCCGCTCTTGTGATTCGTGAAGCGTAATAAAGATCGGCGCCCCCTTTTCATTTTTGCGCGCCCCCAAGAATTGCCAGCTGGGGGGGGGCGTGCCCCCCCCCGCCCCCCTGCCAGCACGCTACTGGTTTAAGGAATTCGTCTCAAACCTGGATGACATAAACGAATTAGAGATTGTTTCAGCAATAGTAAAAACTACTTCAAACCAAAATATCCTCTTCTCTCTTGCTACAGACCACCTGACACTGAACGAACTTGGACAAGCATACTCAACACATTCCTAGATCAAATTTGCGATCAGTTTAAAAACGTAGTGATATCCAGTGATTTTAATCTACCCAACATCTCGTGGGATGCAACATTGAATGCATCTGGTACGAATGAAATGAACTTTGTTGACATACTTGATGACCACTATTTCACTCAAGTAAACACCATCCCTACTCGTGCCAACAAAATTCTAGATCTTGTTATCACAACTGTTCCAGAATTAGTCACTGTGTCTGAAGTACTTGTCCCAGAGACAACTGAAATAATGACGGATCACTCAACAGTCCTTTACGAGTTTTCTGAGAATATTAAAGCAAAACCAAAAGTTGAGAGGTATATTATAACTACAACGTTGGTGACTTTGAAGGACTGCGACGTGCATTGAACGCAATCAATCTGACGTCTCTCGTTGAACATGCCATAGATATCAACATCGCCTGGCAACAATGGAAAGATGCGTTTTTAACAGCCGTTTCACATTATATACCGATGAAAAAGAACAAAGGACGCAATCCAGCTCCATGGGTTAATGGTACTATTCTTAACGCCATAAGAAAGAAAGACTCAGCTCGGCAAAAACTTTTAAAAGGCTTCTCCAAACAATTTTCGACTGCAGCAGCAATTCAAAACCTTGCGATCTGAAGTCAAGCATATGTTGCGGAAAAGTCGGGAAAAGTTTTTCAACAAGTTAGGAACTGACATTAAACAAAATCCAAAGCGTTTCTGGTCGGTATTGAAAAGAAGCTCAAAGACAAGAAACATCCCTGACATTATTTCATCCGCAAACAACGTCAACACACCTGGTACAAAAAATACAGCACAACGAACGGCGGCCGATAATCCAGATGGTATAGCAAACATGTTCAACCACTACTTTGCGTCAGTATTTTCAAGAAAGAAAGCTTACGAGGAAGGCGCCACTGAGTCTGACGAGCCAATTGTGACTGATGTCCTAAACAACATAAAAACTCGTTTGTATGATGCAGTTAACATGTGTCAACATGGGTTCATGGCTGGGAGATCTTGCATATCAAACCTCATCGACACTCTCGACTACGTTGGACTACGTTTAGACAGTGAAGGACATATAGACATGATTTATATGGATATGTCAAAGGCATTCGACAGGGTCGATCATGAAGTATTAATACGAAAGCTGTAGAAAGACTATGGTTTTGGAGGTAATCTCCTCAGATGGTTTCGTTGCTATCTAGAAAATCGTAAACAACGCGTTACAGTGTTAGGAGCAACGTCAGACCTACTCCCTGTCACGTCTGGTGTACCGCAAAGTTAAATTCTTGGTCCAGCATTGTTCCTCCTCTACGTCAATGATCTGCCAAGCAATGTGAAGTCAAGTCGTGTTGCAATGTTTGCGGACGATGCCAAAGTCTTCAAGGCAATACAATCGCCTAATGATGCAATAAAGTTACAGGAAGATATCACTAACTTGGGGATCTGGTCATCTGAATCTGGCTTACAATTCAACGAAGCAAAATGCAAAACACAATCCATTACCCGTAAAACCAATCCAATCCAATCCCTACCACCTATTTTATGAATGACGCTCCACTAGCATCAATTAAGCATGAACGTGATCTTGGTGTCTGGATATCTTCCGATTTGACATTGAACAAGCATGTCAACGAACAGTGTGCACAAGCAAATAAAATGCTTACATACATCAGACGGAACACACGAACAATTAACAGCATTAAAACAAGAAAAACCATTTACCTGTCACTGGTACGATCACATCTTGGTTACGCGACGCAAGTCTGGACACCTCAATCTATCGAACTTCTGCTCAAACTAGAAAAACCTCAAAGACGTGTGTCGTGTATTTAGATTATACTTTTAACAAAATATGAATAATACATAAGCGTGGCCGATCTACATATCTAATGCGCTTGTCCATGCGTATGACCGCTGTCCGTCTATATCTATATGTCTAACACCATCTCTCCTCTTAAGGAATGTATCATAAAATATAGTTCATGAGTTCACTATCGTGTTCGAACAATTATGCTAACCATAACAGTAAGTAATAAAGCAGTTCTCTATGTAGTTTTCTTAAACAGTTTTCGGATCAAACAGTTAAGACCCCGCCTCTTGGGTGGTTGGTGTGATCTAGTTGGGTAGCGTTGTTCAGATCCTGTTGTAGCCCTACCGGCTTCTTGTTGTTGCACTACTGGTGGATTCGTGGCTAGTTCGATATCCGGCTCTGCGACAATTTCTTCTGCTGGTGCAATATTCTGGCCAGTCTCTCCGAGCTCTGGATGAGGTTCAGCCGTATCATCACTCTAGTCATTTACTTTCACACTCGAGGCTCGAAGCTGGTCGATGTGACGTCGCCAAATTCGATTTGGACCAACTTTTATCTCGTACGAAAGGGGTCCCGTTTGAGCTCGAACTATGCCTGGTAGCCACTTGTCTTTCCCACTGTTGTTACGTGCCATGACAGTCTGACCAATGGATAACTGACGTGTGGGGGAATGTCCTTTCCTCCCCGCTTGATCGATTTGCCTGTTCATCACTTTCCTTTGTAAATCAGGTTTCACCAAATCGAGGCGAGTCCGTAGCGGTCTGCCCAAAAACAACACGGACGGTGATTCTCCAGTCGTCGAATGCGGGGTATTCCGGTAAGCCAAAAGGAACTTTGCCATATTGGTTTTCAGCTGGGATGCACTTTGTTTCTCGCATTTCATAGCATGTTTGAAACTCTGAACAAAACGTTCCGCTTGACCGTTGGTTGCAGGGTGGAATGGGGCCGTGGTAATATGCTTGATACCATTAGTCTTCAAAAATAGTTGGAACTCTGAGGATGTAAATTGTGGCCCATTGTCGGTCACCACCTGTGCTGGCACTCCATATCGGGCAAAAATAGTTCGGAGTCGGTCAATGGTCTGCGTCGATGTGGTGGATGGCATTATTTCCACTTCAGGCCACTTCGAGTGTGCATCTACAATGATAAGGAACATTCGTCCTAGGAACGGCCCAGCGAAATCTAAATGGATTCTCTGCCAAGGTGTGGTTGGCCATTCCCAAGGGTGTAGTGGTACTTTGCCGGCTTCATTCTGTTGAAGTTGACAACCAGGGCAGCTCTTGGCTAGGTGCTCAATGTCCTTATCAATTTTGGGCCACCAGATGTAACTTCGCGCCAGAGACTTCATTTTGACAATACCGAGGTGACCTTCGTGAAGCTCGGTTAACACTTGATTACGCAACTTTGCAGGAATGACTGCTCTGTGTCCAAGCATTAGGACACCACAGTGAACTGTCAGTTCGTCTTTCCGCTGGTAAAACGGTTTAATCGCTTCATCTTGTGGAGTGGACCATCCTTTCATAACCAACTCATGGACCTTCACCAATAGAGGATCTCTCTGTGTTTCTCGTTTGACCTGTTCTGCTGTGACTGGCAAAGGCTCAAACTGCGTGGCATAGAAGAGGCCCACTGGATCTGGCTCTTCTTCTGTTGTCTCACTATGCAAGGGTAATCGAGACAAACCATCCGCATTCCCGTGTAACTTAGTGTTCTTGTATCTAATTGTATAGTCAAAACCCGCCAAGAACAAAGCATAGCGTTGTAATCTAGCAGCAGTGACAACAGGAAGGCTTTTGCTGGGATGAAAAATTGAAGTGAGAGGCTCATGATCAGTCAGTAAGGTAAAGTTCCTACCAAAAAGGTAATTGTGGAATTTCTTGACTCCCCACATTGTAGCTAGTGCTTCTTTATCTATCTGTGCGTAGTTGCGCTGCGCCTTCGACAGGGATCTCGATGCAAACGCTATCGGGCGCTCTGTGCCGTCTGTCATGACATGGGACAGTACCGCTCCAATTCCTACAGGTGAAGCGTCACAAGCCAGTTGTAGGGGAAGGTTAGGATCATAATGTGTAAGCACCAGGTCTGAAACAATCATTGCTTTAACTTTGCAAAAGGCTTCTTCGCATTGATCTGTCCAGTTCCATTGGTAGTTACTTTCCAGCATTTGGTTCAAAGGATGCAGGATTGTAGCAAGGTTTGGCAGGAATTTGTGGTAATAATTCACCAATCCCAGGAAGGAGCGTACCTCTGCAACACTCTGGGGGCGAGGGGCATTCACCATTGCAGCTGTCTTGTCGGTGATCTTGTGCAGGCCTTCACTATTAATGTCGTGGCCACAGAACGTGATCTTTTCTTTGAAGAACTCACACTTGGATTTATTGGCTCTTAACCCATGGTGGTGCAGCCGTCCAGCCGTCGAAGGACCTCCTCCAGGTTAGCCATATGCTCTGCGTCGCTTTTACCCGTCACAATCATATCATCTAGGATACAACTAATACCAGAAGTTCCTTCCAGAATCTGATCCATGGTACGCTGCCAAATGGCGGGAGCTGAGGTAATACCAAACACCAATCGATTGTATTGAAACAAGCCCATGGACGTATTAATTGTAAGGTACTTCTTGGATTCTTCCTCCAGCTCAATCTGATGGTAAGCTTGGCGGAGGTCAATCTTGGAAAACTTTTTCCCACCAGCTAAATGGGCAAATATATCTTCGATTCGAGGCAGAGGATACTGTTCTGCTTGCAGTGTTGGGTTAATAGTACCTTTGAAGTCACCACAAATACGGACTGAACCATCTTGTTTCGGCACTGGTACAATCGGTGTCGCCCAATCACTCCACTCTACTTTCGACAAAATACCTTCGCTCTGAAGTCTCTTCAGTTCTTCCTCCACTTTCGGTCGTAAGGAATATGGGACCTGACGAGCTTTGCGAAACTGTGGTTGACTACCTTCTTTGAGAGTTATCCTTGCTTTGGCAGATTTGAAAGTTCCCAGCTTGTCTTCAAAAACCTCTGCATACGTATTCAATAGGTTTTTCAGCTTCTCTTGTGTAGTCGTGCCAGGGTTTCTATGGCTGGAATCTGAGGATTTCAACAACTTAATGGTTTTCCAGTCGAGGCGAAGCTTGTGAAGCCAATCTCGACCCATTAACACTGGACCCTTAGTCTGGACTACATGGAATGGCAATTGACATGATTGATCTAAGTATTCAACTTGCATAGTAAGGCAACCAACTGGAACAACCAATTCACCAGTATAGGTCTTTAGTACGGTGGTTGTTTTCTCTAACTTCTTGTCGCGAAATCTTTC